CCCCTGCCGAGGGAGTGGCGGGCGTCGATCCGGCCGCAGCTCCAGACGCTCCAGGAGGACCACCAGTGGCGGCAGGCGACGGCTTAGCTGCTCCATTCGCAGCGCCCACACCGGCTGCTGGCGCGGGAGAAGCCGCAGCCTTGCCCTTGGCCGCCGCGCCTTTACCCTTGGCCTCCTTGGCCGCTGCTTCCTTGGCCGCCTTCTCCTTCTCCTCCTTCTCCTTGGCCTCCTTCTCCTTCTTCAGCGCGGCCTTGCTCTTCGCTGGTGGCTTGGGCGTCGGCTTGGCCGCGCTGTTGGCGCCTGCCTTGGGCCCTGCCGCTGCAGCCGGTACCGGCGTAGCAGGCGTCGCTGCCGACGTCGGCGCAGGCGCAGGCGCGGGACTAGCACTCTGCGGCGTAGCCGCGCTCACACCGGCCGCCTGTGCCTGGGCAGCCTGCTGCACGGGTGTAGGCGGCTTGCCACCCGCCGCTGCAGCTGCCGCAGCCTGCTGCGCCTGCGCCTGCGACTGTTGCTGGCGGAAGCTCTCGCGCACGATCTGGATCTGCTTGGCAAGCGCTGCTTGCTGGTTGCGTGTCTCCTGCAGCGCATTCTGGCACTGCTGACGCTCCTCGGGCTTAAGGTTCGGATTGTTGAGCGCGCTCTCGAGCGCCTGCACCTTCATGCGCAACGGCTGCGCGATGCGGTTGAACTGCTCCAGTAGCGCCTGCTCCGTCTGAGGGACTTGCGGCTGCCCCGGCGCTCCAGCTCCCTGAGGCGGTCGCGCAAGCGCCGGATTCGGCTGCTGCGGCTGTGCGTTTTGCGCGTTGCGCTGCTGCTGCTGCTGGAGCTGCTGCTGCAGGGCGGCGGTCATTTGAGCCTGTTGCATGTTGGGCTGTCCAGGTTGCTGCGGTTGTCCGGGCTGGGGTGGTCGCATTTGCTGCGCGAGCTGCGCGTTCATCGGTGCCTGCTGTTGCGGGGCTTGCTGATGCTGTTGCGGCTGCTGCGGCTGGTTGGGTTGCTGCTGAGGCGGCCTTCCTTGCTGCTGCTGCGCCTGTTGGTGCGCACCGATGAACGCCTTGAGCTGAGCGAGCTGCTCCGGGCTGATTTTGCCTTCACGAGCAGCCTGAAAAAGCGCTGCCAGACCCTGCGGGTTGTTCTGCACAAGAGCTTGGAGAGCCTGCAGGTTGCCGGCTTGGGCCGCCTGCTGTTGTGGTTGTTGCTGCGGTTGCGCCGACGACTGACCTTGCTGCTGTTGCTGCTGCGCAAGTGCCTGGGCACGCATGGCTTGGATCTGCTGCTGCTGGATGAGCGCAGCTTTATACTGCGCGGCCTGCGCTGCCGTTTGCGGACCTCCTGGCGGCATCTGGTTGTTCGCAAGCTGCTGACCAGGCGCAGATGCATTCTGCTGGCCCGGCTGCTGCCCTTGTTGTCCCTGGCTGTTCATTGTTGCGGATCAATATGAAGCTGCGGGCCGCGTTTCGTCTTGGTGGACCAGGCGGTCGGCGACACGCGCGTGCGAGCGGGGGACTGGCGCGACGGCTCGATTCTATGCCGGAAGAGGCAGCCGAGAAAAAGCGATCTGGACTGGCTCAGCCGTGTTGGAAGATATGAAAAGGCCGATCGAAGCTGGATCATCCAGACACAACGCGAAGAAGCGAAGAGTAGCGATCGGGATGATGGTGCAGAAGGCGGATGCGAAGGTGGATGCGGACGTGCAGCGTGACCGGCAGCTCGTCCGAATTCCATCGCGAAGTCTGAATCGCCGATCTCCAACGTAGATCTAACAAATTCAAAAATCGCACCCAGGCATGCATTCACGCTGCAAAGACGCCGCAATCAGGGTGACGATGTGGTATAATGATCTCGATTGTAGGTATTCTACGGTCAAATGAGCGCTGAAAGGGCCTTGGAAAGAGAGTAGAGCAGGCCAAGCTGCGGAGGTCCGTCAAACAACAAGGCCGATTACGACTGCCACCCATCCATCGGGTCCTAACAAGGCGCTTCCGAGCCAAGCGATCTCGGCGTCGAGAGGCATTCTCACGCCCTGTACGAGTGCATACGCCAGCGGTGGTGAGGGTGCCTGGAAGCTGCTGAAGCTCGGCGGCGGGGGGAACATGAGCGGGAACAAGGCCGACAGTACCGCGCCGAGCGTGTTTGCACGGCCATCCTCCAGCATGGGTGGAACCGGTTCCTGCACGATGGGCGCATTGTCCGGCAGGAAGAAGCGGAGGGGTATACTTCGGACCGCATTGTTCGCATTGGGTGTCGCAGTGCCGCTGTCCGCGGGTGGGTCGGAGGAAGTTGTGCTCGTGATGGTCGAAGCCATGCTCGGGGCCAAGCTAGCCTCGCTCTCGTTTGGCTGTGAAGTGAAGCTACGCTGGGCCAAAGTTGTCGACCGCTCGTCGTGTGCGCCGCCTCCAAGGTTGAGTGACTGTGCACGTGAGGCGATGGGAGACCGGCCTGCCGTCGCCGTCGCTGTGCCGGTTTGAGTGCCGATTATAGCTGCGTTCGGAACGAGCTTTTGGGCGACACTCCAGAAGAGCTCGTAGTCGTGGGCGACGACGCCGTCCCATAGCGTATCCTGCTCCTGCTTGCGGAGATTGACCACCTTCTTGGTGGAGCCATAGCGGACAAAGTCGGCCTCTTTGATCATAGACATGAACGAAGTCTTGCATGACTCGACTCCGGCATTGGAGTGGAGCCGCTCGGTGGGCGGTTTGGACAAGCGCACGCGGATCTTCCACGGGAGCCTGGGTGGCTGCAAGGCCGACTCCACCGAAGAGCTAGATGGCTGCGTGCTCGATTCGGGTCGCAAAGATCCCAGACCCGAAGTGCTTGATGCTGACGAAGTGTAAGCGACGGCAGTGCGTGCTGGGTTTGCAGTGTGGAAGTCGTAGAGAAGGCCGATCTGCCAGTGCCAACGGAGAGGCTGGCCTTCGTATTCAAACCAGATATCCTTGTCGTTGAGGCTATTCAGCGCTGGCTGCTCAAGTGCAAGTTCGAGGAGATTCTTCTTGACATCATCTACGATGAGGGGCAAGTAGCTGACGCGTGGTACGACGAGGTAGGTCGAATCGACCGAGGAATCCGAGCCGGGCGGCAGGTCCGTCGGATCGATCGAGACACATATTGGCACTGAGCCCTCCCACACGAGCCTTCGAAACGATGCGGTGCTCTGCGCAGGAGATGCATACGGCTGCGAGGAGTGGGCAGCAGTTAACGCTATCGATGCTGGAGACGTCGCTGCCGAGGCGAAGCCGCCCGTGTGGGGTGAGGATGACAGGAGATTGGAAGCCGGACTCCCAGCTGAAAGCGATCCATGGCCGAGCAAAGGGGTCGAAGTGGCCGACGCAGACCCAGACGCAGCAGCGGAGATAGTGACGGGCGTCGATGATGCCGAAGGGTAGTTGCCAGCCGAAGCAGACTGCTGCTGCGACGACGCCAGCGGTGGTTGACTCATGGTCGCAGCGTGGTGAAACGCGCCCTCGATCGACGCCAACGAACTGCTTGCAGGTTGAGTAGTCCGTGGGAAGAACTAAGTGAAGCACCTCGGCCTCGGATGTGGTTGTGAGTGATGCTGTGATGGGAGAAGGTCGAAGCGATACTTCGAAGGACGCGCTTGCCAGACCAACACACGCTTCACACCGATTTCCTGAGACCCTGATTTTCCAGAGCGGCACCAGCGCGGGGCCACCTGCACGACTGCGACCTGGCTCGTGCAGCTGGCGCATACGCGGATTCTCACGTCGCTCACAAGCGCCACTTCCAACGATACTGCCACGGCAAAGGACACTCTATCGGGCACACGGTCGATTGATTGATTGCGCTGCAAAGGAAGTTGAGTCTGTTCTCACGCCCGCCACTGTTGCAACAAGGAAGAAGTAGTATAGGAGTCAGTATCGGTCATGCGCGTGCAGACCAGTCCGAGTGAGTGGCCGGTGGGGCGTACTTACGGCGATGTTAGGCGTATCGGTCCTGAAACGCTGTGTGACGGTGCTCTTCTCGAGGCTGGTGTCGATGCCCATGCGATGGCTCAAGAGACCGGCGTGTGCGATCATGATGCCGTTGTCGATGCAGAATCTTTCGTCGGTGGCAAATACGCTGCCGCCCCTCTCGCTGGCCATGACGCCCATCATGTGTTGGAGACGCTGGTTGCTGCCGACGCCTCCCACGATGAGCACCTCTTTGGATCCAATGTGCGCCATGGCACGTTCGGTGATTTCGACGAGCATTGAAAAGATGTGCTCCTGGAGCGAGAAGCAGAGATCGGCGGCAGTGATGTTGTCGACGGACGAGTCGAGCTGTGCGACGCCCGATTGTGACACGTCGACATCCGGGTCGGTGGGTGCGGCAGCAGCGTCTTCCTCGTCGCCCTTGTTCTGCGCCTCAGCATCAGGTGCAGATCCTTCCGCCATGTTCACGATGTGCTTTCCGCCTCCCTCGCCCGTCCACACTTCGCCGTTGGCAAGACTGCCGACAGGCAAGCCGGCGTCTGCGCTCGAGTCGACGTTGGGCTTGAAGCGCTTATCGCGTGTATATGCCTCGGTGGCACTCAGAATTCCGGCAAGACTAACGTCCATTCCCTTGGTGGTGTAGGGGAGGGGTACGAGCCTGGTGCCACGCCTAGCCTCCTTCTCGATGTTCTGGCCTGGACTCGGATCGTTGCTGAGTCCGATGACTCGAGCGAAGCGATCCAAGCAATTGCCAACGGCGATGTCGAGCGTCTCGCCAAAGATGCGGTACCTCTGTGCCGAGTATGCGATCACCTGGGTGTTGCCGCCGGACACGTAGAGGACGACGGGATTGTGCGCTCCAGTGATGGTCCTTCCCATCTCGATGTGGCCTACGCAGTGGTTGACGCCGACAAGCGGCTTCTTGTACATGAGCGCGAGCGTCCTTGCTACTATGGCGACGCTCTGGAGAGGAGCACCCATCCCAGGGCCTTTGGTGTAGCAAATGCAGTCGACTTCGGCGAGCGACTCGAGTCCTGAGCGGCGCACGGCTTCGGAGATGACGCGGATGATCCACTCCTTGTGATGTTTGGCGGTGTCGCTGGGCTGGAAGCCGGAGCCAGGGGGCGTGACGTAGGTGTGTCGCACATTGGAGAGAATCTCGACCTGTCCTACTGAGCGGGAGGAGATAGAAGAGGGTGAGGACGACGAAGACGACGGTGCCGAAGGGTCGAAAGGCTTGTGCAGAACGATTCCAGCGCCGAGCTTGTTCGCACTGCCTTCCAGGCCCAAGGCCAGATAGGGCCGCGTGGGATACGGCAGCGGGTCTGGCTTTCGTACTCGAGTTCGCGAAGGCATGATCGCTGTGGCGGGGTGGCAATCACACTGGCAGAGGCGGTTGAGAAGGGAAAGCGAGCCGAGACCGATAGGGAAGGGAAGCGTATGCATGAGGGCTCTCTCCGAGTTCCGAATCGCGACCAAATTTTTTGGCGGATGAGCCGCACACTGAGCTGAGCCTGCAGTTCTGCTGGTGGCGGGGGAGCTTGTCGAGAAGGATTCGCTCCTCCACTCGGTGCCCATTCGTCACTTCCGTCACCCACCTTTCGCATCCCTGCCGTCCTTCCCTTGTCGTCATCGGCTGCACCGATATGCCGTGTCCGCAGCCTGACGATCCCGCGCCTCAGGCAGCCGCCACCGCACCCGAGCCTGCCCGGGCGACGGTGTGTGTGCGCTGCAAGGCGAACCCGGCCGTGGCCATCTTCCGCGACTCGATCTACTGCCAATCCTGCGGTCTGGCTGTATTTGACCAAAAGGCCAAGTCTGGTCTCGAATTTGCACGTGGAGCTGGTCTGGCAAAGTATGTCGCCGCCGAGAAGGCCATGGCCGCCGCCAAGCACCCGTCTCCGGATGAGCCGTCTGCATCGTCGGATGCTCCCGAACAGCAGGCCACGCGGTCCTCGAAAGCGATCATCAACGGCGCCGGCAATGCCGAAGTCAACGTCTCAGCCAACATTGCCATTGCACTGTCGGGGGGTCCAAGCTCTCGAGCCCTGCTCAGAACAGCGACGCAGTACTTTCGCCCAGAATCCTCGTCCGCCGCCCGCCGCAGCAAGGGCCGTGGAGCGAAGAACGATGGCCAAGACGCTGCTTCTGCCTCCGCTTCTGCAGAAAGCGGTCGTAGGAAGAATGTGAATGCGAATGGGAATGCTAACGGGCGCTTCAACGAGATCGGCAAGATCTTCGTCTTCTATATCGACGTCAGCGCCGTCGTTCCAGGCGATGCTCAAGACCGCACCGAATCGATGCGCAGCATTGTCGAGCAGGAAGGCTGTCCCGACTTGCACTTTGTCCCGCTCAAGATCGAAGATATCTATCGCCAGTCCGACAGCGAGGGCAGCGCAGAAGGAATTCCCTGGAAGACACTTGACAGCGATGCCCAGCTGCTCTCTCGCGCGTCGGCGCCGGTGAGCGACCCGAGACAGGCGATCAAGGCCCTCTTCTCCGCCCTCCACCCGTCCACTCTCCCGCGCACCGCGGCGTCTTCGGCGCGAACACGGCTCGAAGACCTGCACCGCGTCCTCATTCAATCGCTTCTACGCCGCGCAGCACGCCAGTACGACTGTGCCGCGCTGTTGCTCGGCGACAGTGCGACGCGCATCTCGATCCGGCTTATCGAGGATCTCGCCAAGGGTGCGGGTCACAAGCTCGCGGTTCAGGGCAGCGACGCCGCGTGGATCGACGACACGCTTGTCGTCCGACCTCTCAAATCCCATCTCATGCAGGAAGTGCTCTTCTACACCTCGGCGCTTGGTCTCGAATCGCTCGAGACCGAGCAGCATATTGTGCCACCGCTCGTGTCTACAGCCGACATCCTGGCGAATCGCGACGCCAACGTGCCTACGATGGACAAGAGCTCCATCGCACGCCTCACCGAAACCTTCATCCTCAACCTCGAAAAGGGCGTGCCTAGCACCGTGTCGACGATCGGCAAGACTGGCAGCAAGCTCGTCCTCAATCCGACTTCGGAACGGGCTGGTGCCGAGGGTCCAGCGCACTCGACGAGCGCGTTCCAGCACGTTGGTCCGAGTGTCTCACTGCGTTCGCGGGACGCGACGGGCAAGATGAGCGCACTGACCTTGAACGAGGCGCCAGAGCCACGTATTGGATCGAGAGGTATCAAGCTGGCTCAGGCCAGTGCTGGGTGTTTCAGATGGACTACGCAGGCAGGTTGTGCACTGTGTGGCATGCCGTCACAGCAAGGCGCAAGGCATTGGAAACGCAACATCACCATTTCCAGCCTCGCGGAAACCGCACCCACCCAGCCCCAAGAAGGCACACAAGACGCAGAATGGATTGAGCTTTCGGATCATCTCTGCTACGCATGCCTGCTGGTCCTTGCTATCCCTACTTCCAACATCGCAGTCGAGGAACTGCCCTTGCTCCCTGCATACGTCCTCGAACACATCATTCGCTCTCAGGACGCAACCAATGCGGGAGTGCATGCGCCGGAGCACGAACACGAAGTTCTTCACAGTGCCAAGTCCTCGCAGGATCCAGCTCTCAACGGCCACAATGCACACTGCGCCAGCACTACCCCGCTCCAGCCCCTCAATAGAGCCGAGATCAAGGCACAGATCAACGACTTTCTTCTTCCCGATGCCTGATTCGCCTCAACCTGCAATACTACTTGTACCACTAGCATACTCAGTCCGGCCATCTGATTGATTTGGCTACATCGCAACGCTCCGTTTCCAAATCCAGGTGCAATCTCCTAATTCGTCGCAAGGGTCGACCACACTTGACCCTAAGCAGGCCCTGCAGTGCCGCCTCTGCCTCTTTGCAAAGCGGATGACGGCGTGCCCGTGTTCGGCGGCAGCCCATAAGTCGGGCTGAATTGATCGCCGGGGCTGCTTGACCACCCGGCGGCATGCATGTCTAGGAATGCACTGGTCGCTCCGTTGCCTGCTGTCGGCGTTGAATTGGTATACTGCGACAGATCGACGTCATCGAGGCCCGTGTGCAACGGTCCTGGTGCGCCCGAGTTGGGCGTGATGGCATCCGAAAACGGTCCGTCGAAAAAGTCGCTCGACAGCGCACTGTTGCCGCCTAGCTGCTGGTCCGACGCTTGCAGCTCCTCGAGCGCTTGCTCGAAGTTGTAGTCCGGCGCGGCGGCTTCAAGCTCGTAGTCGAGCTCGTCATCGTCTTCCTCGTCCTCTTCATATCCATCGTCTTCAGCCTCGTCATCCGAGTCTGAGTCGGAGTCCGAATCGCGGTGGAACTGCTGTGCGAACGCCAGAGCGCGCGTATCCTCGACCGACTCCAGGGCTTGTTCGAGCGCGCCTTCGACATGACGAAGCGTGTCGGTGGATCGTCGTCGCTGATCGTCGTCGGAATCGTCTTCCTCCTTGTCAACTTCTTCCGCTCGCTGGGCAAGCCGAAGTGCCACATCCTTGGCAGTAAAGGTCTGCTCTCGCTGCAGTTCAAGCGAGTCCGGTGAGCCTTCTCTCTCCTCGCGTACCAGAGGGTCGCCGTACGTGACAGTGGCAAAGGAGACGCCCCCGTCTCCTCCAGGCCCAGTTCCGCTTGGGGCCGGCCGAGACTGCGAGTTGGCTGTGGGAGATTGCTGCTCGTGCTTTTGCTGCTGCTGGTGCTGGTGCTGCTGAGACGACGCGCCAAGCGCACTCATTTGACGAAGCATGGCTTGATCCGCGGCCTGCCCTTGCCCCAAGAAGCCGATGCCGGACAGGTCGTTCGACATCTGGCCGCGACTTGCTCCCTGAGGCAAAGACTGCTGGGCAGCAGTTGAGCTCGGCGCTTCGCCCGCAACAGCGGCCGTGGTTCCATGATGAAGATCGCCTGCCCATGGGTGGTGTGAGAGGGGCAAGGAGGCGAGCAGCTCGTTGACGTCGTCGCCTTGCAGCCCTGAATCCGAAATACTGCCGAGATCGGCCCAGTCCACGTCCCACTGCGCCATGTTGTTCGCATCAGCAAAGTTCTGCAGGGGACCCACCATGAAGTCGCCGTCGCGCATCTGCGATGGCTGATTTGCAAATGGTTTGCCAGCGTCCTGCTGAATGAGATTCTGCTGCGCGAACGGGTCTGCGACGCTTGAGGATCTGCGAGAATCGGCTGCCGAGGATGCGGACGAATCGGAGGCTGCGCTCATGGCACCCGCCATGAAGGCGTTAGATCCGAAGCCGGTGGGCGAGGTGATGCCTGGCTGGCCACCAAAGTTGATCCCAGGGGTAAACAGGTTCTGCGTGTTGGCCACGAAGCCACTCGGCCCTGACGCGTTGAAGCTGGTGCCAGAGATGTCGCTGGCGCTCGAGCTGTAGGTAGACCAAGACGAAGGTGCTTGTAAGGCAGCGCGCTGATCGTCGAGGTTCATCGAGCTCTCGTCAACGCCCATGGACTGAGAGCTGGGGCCCAGCCAGGCCAGTACGTTGGGTGGGATTGCGTTGGTTTGAGAGAGCGGCGGAATCTGTGCGTTGCTCGGCGGCGGAACGGGGCCACCGGCAGGTGATTGGTGCTGGCTCGAAGACTGGGACTGCGGACGAGAGTGTGAAGCCGATGATTGATGCGCATGACCGTGCGATTGACTGTGGACGCCGTGCATGTGTCCGTGGACGGAGGGCAGGCGTTCGAGCGCGGAGCTCTTGCCCGTCCGGGAGGCGTGACTCCTTCTCTTGTGGTTGATAGGGTCGTGGATGGCATGTTTGCCCGCTTGCCTGCGAGCATCGTCTGCGGAAGCTGCTTTGACATGTGCGGACGCTGCGGAATGGTGCATCTGGACAAAGTGCTGCTGATGCGATGGGTCGGCCTCGCTGGCACTAGGAGGAGTGGCTCGCTCCCGGATGCTGCTCGTTTCGGAGGTGGTGGAGGTGCCCTCGAGGCTGGCTTGCTGGAGCTGCTCGAAGAGGCTGTTGATGGATTGGCCTGTCACCATGTCGGATGCTCGAAGTGGCAAGTTGGAGCCGGGTAGGGGCGCTGTGTTGGACGAGAGGAAGGGTGGCCTGGGCTGTATGTTGTGCTGCTGCTGCTGTTGCTGCTGAAGCTGCGCTGACAATGCTTGTCCAAAGCTTTGGCGTGGAATGTTCCCGCCCATCGAGTTGGATCGACCCAGCGCGCTGCTCGCACCGCTTGATGGACCCGAGAAGATGGGCTCCTGGCCACCGTCGGTGAGATTACCCTGGTCGGTGAAGTAGCTGTAGTCGGTGAGATTGCCGTGATCGGTGAGGTGACCGTCGCTGGTGGCATCGCTGAGGGCGTAGTCTGCTCCGCGCCATCCGCCCTCAGAGAGGCTGTGATCTGAGAGTGCGCCGGTCAAGCTGCCTGTCCTCGCCGGGTGACCCTCGCCTGGTTTGGCTGCGCTGGGGCCTCGGTCCTTGCGTGCCTTGGAAGGACGCGGCTTGAAGCCGGCGCGTTCGTAGTCTTCGGGGAAAGCATTGCGGAAGCGGTCGCGCAGGTCGATGGCGCGCCTCTGACCGTTGAAGATGGGATCCTTGGCTATCAAGGCCCAATGGGAGCCGTACTGCTGGTAGCCTGCGCGGAGAGCGGCGTCCTCTTCCGCGGTGAACGGTCGTCGCTCCTTGGTCTTGCCCTTTTCAAAGATGCTCTTTCCCTCGGCGTCCCGTCCTCTGACCGCCTTGCTCAGATGGGTCTTGGCGTTGGGATACATCTCGTGATAGGCGTCGGGGAAGTAGGTTCGGAATCGATCCTTGAGATCACCCGCCGTTCTGTCGCAAAAGAGGCTCGAAAGCGCTGGATCGGAGAGGATCTTTTTCCAGTTTCCCACGCCGTGCTTGTTGCATCCATCGACGAGTGCCTGCGTCTCTTCGGCCGACCAACGGTGCTTCTGGCTTCGGTGACTTCCCGAGGCTTTGCGTCCGACGGAGGATGGCCTGCGAGAGCCAGCTGCTGAAGTGGATGCGCTGTTGTCAGCGTTCGGATCGCCCGACGCCGACTGCGCGCTGCTGGATTGGTAGCCAGAGCCGGGTTGGTCGGCGGAAGCCGAGGCGGAGAGAGGCGATTGACTTCGCATGTCGAAGCGTTGCTGTGCTGCGAGGAACAGCCGGGCATTCTCCTGTGGCGAATCGGCCCTGAAGCTGAGCTGTGCCGCAAAATCCGGGTTGTTGGGCGAAGCGCCGAGGGAGCGGCCAGGGTCGCTATTCTGGTGCGGCGACGGCACCTGAGGCTGATTTGGCGAGGGTATCTGGGACTGCATCTTGGTGTGGATGAGCCTCGCCAAAGCTTGAGCCAGAGTGAGGCCTATGGGAAGGGCGGATGTCTTGCCGACGTCACCAGTGCTGGTCGAGCTTCGGAGGGTCCGAAACGTAAAGCAGCACGAGTCGGCCCGGTTGTACGCCGAGCTCGCAGGCGGGCAGAGGTCAACAGGCTAAGCGGCAGGGCGGCAGGGCCAGGACTGAGTGCAGAGGCAAGCCTCACGGAGACAGTCGAGCTAAGACGGGAGCTTGAGCTGCATTTGACACGGATCCAATCGTCGCGGTGGAATGAAAAAAGGCGGAGGGGGCCAAATGAGCTTGCGCGAGAGGCAACGCCGTTGCAGCCTGCACGTTGGGTAATATGCGCGAAGAGGCAGGCCCACTTCGGCTGGCGATGACTTGTGACGCGGAAGGTAGGGATGGAGGTCGGTGACCAAGCAGCAGCCGTATCGAGGTGCCGTACCTTGGAAGCATCGAGATGGCCATGAGAAGATCGCCTCCGCTGCTCGGCAGTCTCCTGCCCGTTCTCAGGCGTGGCCGGCGTGCGTGAGCTGAAAACGGGCGAAATAGACGCCCGCCTGCAGCCAAGTCAAAAGTCGCAACGGATCCATCCCAGGGTGCAATCTCCAGAGACTCAAAAAAGCCAATGGGCTGTACGCAGAGCCCACTCCCTTTTTTTTTGTGTGCTGCCCTTTGTCGCGGCTGACGAACAAGCGCGGCCGGCGACTGGACAGGCAGCCACACAGCAGCAGTAACTTAGCGCACCTATCAGATCCTCGTCCAACGCACGCACCCACGCA